TCATAATGATTTAACCCTTATTCGATTTTACATGTTTTCGTAAAAATGCGAAAAGGGTTTCGAACTGAGTTTTTTTTTTTTCTTATCAACATTTCGAGTTGTAACGTAGTTTGTTTTCGTAATTAATTATAAAATATAAAAAATGTTTAAAAATGGAATATTAATCTAATTTAAGGAATATATAACGGCAATCATAGGTATATAAAGATTATGCATAATTGTTTTGATATTTTAATTATTATCGCGAAACTGAAAATATATAGTTTCGTTAATATTATGAAACATCCGCTAATAAATTGTCTATATTCCGAGTCCCTGATTTATCGCTATTGATACGTTTGGCTCCAATAAGCATAAATGGGACAGATTTTTTTTAATGAATATTCTATAGCACCTTGTGAAAAAACATCTGTGTTTGTATTAATCGCCTCGTGAAATATGTTTCAAAGATGAAATAAATTACGTTTGTTACAGAACGTTACATTCTCACATTTCTCGTAGTTTCGAAGTACTGTAAAACATTTTCGTGCGTGATGTAGAAAGAAATTTAAAGATTAAAGATTAAGAAGATATTTCGATCTAACTTCGAATATTAATGTAATAAAGATCAAGAAAGTTGCTTTACGAAACTATGCTCGACATTCAATTAACTATTTAAAATATTACCAAAAGCAACATTTTTTTCAACACAGGACATTTTCTTGTCGAAGTTTCGCGGAACTTAGCAAAATAGGAAAGAAACGTAAAGATAAAACAATTTGCTTTTCAAAAATTATTATCGTTGTATATAGCTTTATTATTCAAGAAATATGAGAGATATGTCTTGTGTTATGATAAAAGTGTTATGTATATTAAACAATTTCATAATGATGTATTATAATGGCATTTGTAACATGATATAATAATATACTTGTTTTCCAACTATCAATAAGATCTTTCTGCAACGTATCATCGGTATGCGTGTCGTTATACATTTTCACGCGACAAGTTGCGCTGATCTCTCACATTTATCCCATTTCTACCTAATGTATTATACATTACTTACATTACTAGATACTGATCTCTTTGAAAGCCGCGCCATTCACGACGCTATTCCTGTGCACAATATGCATTTCACAGCGTTTGAAACGTTTGACTTTAAAATAAATTCGAAATAAATATATTCCGGGTATCTTTATTTGGTCTCCTTATTTGTGTATCTAATCTTCAATAGAAGAACAATTACTATAGTAAGCAAGGTGCATTCCGTTTCACGCATAATGCATCATTTATCCTTGTTGTTCACCGAATATTAAACAGGGATAAATGATGCATTATATGCGCATCGGAATGTACTCATAGTCTGAAACAATTTTTGAATATATGAAGACTTCACAGAGGACAAGAAAATAATGCTTGGGTATTGGCAACTAAAAAATGACGTATCTCATTTTCTATCAAATAATAATTGCAGAAAAAGTTGGATTTTTTTTTATAAGGCACGTAATTAATCGTAATGTGCGTCAGCCTAAAATAGATCTAAGAGGATATAAATAGTTTACATGTGTAATAAGCTAATTATACGCAAGTTCTTGAATTAAAGCATTGGATCGTTATAACGTATGGTGAATCAATGAGACATGAACTGAGCGACATGTATCGCATCGCGATTACATTTGTCGAGGTAGGTTCAAACGGCGCAGTCTCGATCGTTCATGGAAGGTTCGAGACGTCCGACCTCGTTCTACCATATATGCCAGTAGCCAGTCCTGTCTCCGTACACGCCTGTTGGCACGTACGCTTCACATCCCTGTCGTGGAAGTCTCGTACCGTACCTCTTCCTTCTGCCTCTCTGGCCGCAGATCCCTTTACACGCTCGCGTACGCACCATTCGGCGGGATACAGATTCCTTTAATAATGTTCCTTTAATGTTCGTTCGGCATTTCTTCTGTTCACTGCTTGTTGGATACATATGAACTTCCTGTGTCTCTTATCACTCTATATATCTATCATGCGTGCTAATATTTACACTCTTCTGTTTAGATTCATTAATGATAATTTGGTTTGTCAAAAGATACTAATAAGAAACGCTCGAAAGTTGTTATTTCTTATAATAAGCAGCTTTCCTACCTAAATACCTGTTAGCGAATGCTCAGAATAATAAATAGACATTGAGCTACTGCGGCCGCACAGGCCTTCAGCTTGCTATGTCACTTGATTCTCGGCAATCCGATCAGAGCTCTATTATCCTCGGCGCTTAGCCATTAGCAAATACCTAAATGAGAGAACAGGTAATAAAAAAGATAATTTCCGAGCCTTGCTGATAAACATTTTGGCTGATAAACAGTTTTCCTTTTGTTGCAGTAAACATTTATATAATGAATGTATATAATGAATATCTGTGAAAGTAATATACCTATTGAATATAATACACAAATATCGTATCTCTTTTATTTTATGTATGTACATATTTTCTTCATATATGTTTTATATATATATATATATATATATATATATATATATATATATCTTTCATATATTCATATTTATTCTTATTTATTAGACTTAGAGGATTAATGCTTTTTTTTAATACCACACATCAATCACTTATCTTATGCTTGTCTTCATCGAACATTGGACTTTGCACGATCAATTATCGCGCTAATCGATACTTCGGATATCCTCTTTTTCTTACGAAATTTTGGTGTGCCAAAATTTTCCTGATGACTAGCGATAAGAACTTTTGCAACCGCGAATTAATAATTATTGGTAAAGGAGAATATATCAATATATAATTGCTCCTGTATAAATTATAATTGCAATAATTGCAATTTTTATTATGCTATACAAAATCGAAGAATATGTATATTATTTATAACAATTTTCTTTATTATATTTTTTTATTAAAAAGTAATAAGTTTTTAAATAAAAAAGTTCTTGATGTTTCAATGTTTTTGTTATCTGATGATGTTAATAAAGTATAATTTTTATAAAATACAAATTCTATACTTTCTAGTGAAATAAAAAATATAATTTTGCTATTTAGTTGGGCTTTTGAACTATAAATGAGTGATTAATTGCAAAATGCCATAAGTGCGCATAATCTTTAACTTCTTATTCAAGCAAAAAATAAGTATAGTGATCGATCACTTTAATATTAAGACTTAGGTTCTAAAATTTTCGAGAAAATTTTATAATAACTTGACTTTTTTTAGTTTAGTCTTTAATTATTTATGTCAATTAATATAATATTATATATTACTAAGTCGTTGCCTCGGTTTTAAGGAAACTTAAAATGATTAAAAAATGCACAGATATACTTATGAAGCTCTTATTTCGATTCAACGTTTCTGGATGCACCGTAATTAATCTTTCGTATTTCATTGATCGCAATTTCAACGATTTTCCTTCCGCTTTACAATCGCGGATGACGATCGCGATTTATCAGCATGGAAATAATCGATTAATCTACTTTTATCATCAATATTGCACGTTATCTCTTGTCTGTCGAGAATGTAATAATCATTATCCACTTCTGTGCAGCATTTAAGACAGGTTTATGGTCCATGTGAACTCAGATCGGTTGTACTTGAGAAAAGAAAGTGATTGGCCGATTCACTTATATGTGCTGTCTATATACAAATTAGCTGCTAGATACTCGCAGTTCCGCAATTTGTATATTATTAAATAAACAAATAGTTATTTCTGTTGATGAAATTATTTCTATTGATTATAATTACTTATAGAAAAAGACATATTAAGGAATTTGCAATTTGGATTATCATCTGCCTTTGCCGAGATATAACATCGAATATTAAATAATAATAAATGAACTTGTGTGTGTGTAGGTGTGTGTGCGTGTGCGTGTGTGTGTGTGTGTAACCGCTATGTGGAATAACACAAATAATAGAAATATGGCTAATACGTTTGAACTGAGTCTTTATGCTTAATAATTCGAATATTAAAATTAAATAAAGTAATTGAAATTTTCGTACAGAATAATTGATTCTCGTTTATCAAAAATATAATTTTCTTGTTGTGCTATTCACATAGCATTTCATATATTTATATGTATTGCATTTGTTCCATTATTTAAAATATTATCTTATTGCTGTTTGAATCAAATATGCCGATGCGTCACTGCAGACAATGATGTGTATTCTTTCTAGTGATGTTTTATATTAACAAACATGAGAGCTCTCAAGTGTAAGAGCGCCAGTCAAAGGTCTTCAAATGACACCCACCCCATTTT